GTTATAGTTTTACAAAAATTGGGAATGGGTGGTATTTTTAGCTAATATTAACAAAGGGGTGGTAGTGAGGGTCATTTCCCTAAAATAAAACCTTCTGTCCATTTTCTATTCTTGAATTCCCTTCTACCCCTGACCCCCTCCCTTGAATGTTTCTCCCCTTTCCCATCAATTTTTTAACTTTGCAAATTATTGTATTTGTTTGTAGAATTCTTTTTTTAAATACCACAGCCGCCCAGAACAGCCACCCAATTTGCTCTCTCTCTCTCTCTCTCTCACAAAATATCTACCAACACACACACACAAACACAATATCATTAGTCAAAAGAATCTGTCAAAAAACAATAATAGTGGACAGAGTTCCTTTTATTCGTCTTCATCCTTCAACAACTAAACCAATCAATCCCCCAAATAAGTAATAATTACAGAAAATAAACATGAACAAATGATGTTTTAGCTCCTCCAATGCAGCTCTCAATCTCTCTCTCTCTCTCTCTCCCCCATTACTGTTTTAGAACCCATTACTGTAAACAAATGATATTTAACTTCAACAGGAATCGAAATGTGCTCACTTGAAGTGCAAAGGCAAAACCCTTTAGGTGGTACTCTCTTGGTCTACCAGTTGCCGTTGTCTTTACTTGCTTTTTAGATTTTTTTGTTTTCGAAGCTTTTTTGGGCCCTTTCACTCGCTGGCAATCTGCACACAGTGCCCTCAGCAGTGACGCATTTGTCTTCGCATAAGACACAACACCCCATGTATATTTCCCAAAATCTTCAAGGTCTTCTGCCAACTTCAAATATCACATGTCAATGTGGACATGTTTTTCACTGCCCAACAGCACAAACACAGCGAAGTATACAAAGCCGAGCTTCAATGCATCATCCGCATCAGCGCAGTCGCGGAAGGCTTTTTCTAATTCCAACAGGCTCACTGTTTTATTGTTGCCAAAATACTTCCTTTTCAATGAGCAGTTGTCATTACTGGGAATCGGAATAAAGGGAAGGTTTCCAAACCTTAGCCCTGTGACGACGCAAAATTGCTGCGGTGTGAATTGGATCACCTTATTGCCAACAATGAATTTGATCCCGTTCACTTGGGAAATAGTCTTCGGATCAGCTTTCCTCAGCAACAATCCGTGTACAATTGGCAACGTCCACTTCAGGTCCTCGATGAGTAGGAGATGCCCAAAACAACTCTCTTCGAAGGTTCGTAGCTGTTGCTCACTGAATTTCTCTTTTATCGTACTTATTGCACTCTTTGTATGGGATAGCGCCAATGCTTTTCCTTGGAACTT